ACGTCGCTTGAAACGAATCTCTTTCATGACTCCCTGGATTGATTTTCGTCCTGTCGATGAGAAGGCATCGGTTGTGCCCTTGTTGCACATTAACGAGAAACAAACCAGGCCCGTATCGGCTCGCCTATATCTAGCCACGTTCACTGATTGCCATCTTCTTTCCACATCCACATCCGACCGTGAAATTCTACACCCGACGACGGTGTAAGTTTCCGCTTTTTATATTCACTTCCCTCATCGCTGACTTCTAGCGCAGTGACCAGATGACGACTGTTTCCTCGTTCCCGCCTCAGCTGTGACCAGTATATAACGGCTGTGTTCAAAATATGCTTATGTTCTTGGACGTGATCGGTCCTCCCTGTCATGATTGCTACACCGGTACTTTCGAGAAACGCTTTCGACTTACTTCTGTGATGTAAGTCATATCCGGATTAACTATAAATTTAACCGAAAAGTACCTTATTTGATAATCGCGCGTCGGCTGTTGAACGGGATTAGTCACGAATACGAGGTGGATTGCATGCATTAGACCTGCTCACCCAGTTGTCTACTCTCGTAACTTTTTTATGTTCCTTTCTAGTTAATTTGTCATCTTTGGATTTATAGTACAACACGTACTTGATAATTTAATGGTTGGTTTATAGGTTATTTGTCCGATGAGAAATGCTACAAAGTGTAAGTACTGTAGTACATAGAAGTGTGAGATTTACTAGGCCGATGAACCTCTTCCCACTCCTCCCAACTGACATGCTTCTCATAGACATGGAACTGTATCAACCGCATTTATTACAACGTTGTTGCCTCATGACGATATAGTTTTGATTGCCTAATTATGATCGTGATTATGATCACTATGCCACAGCAGAAGTTCACATAAACGGACCGAGATGTGTGCTAAAATGTGACAGCCCACTAACTATTGATATCACGCCTAGTTTAAAGTTAAACAGTGCTGTTACTCCTTTCGAACTACACAGCATGTTGGTTCAGTCATACATCTGCAACCGAACCTGCATGGCGGTAAGTTCCCTACCGTAGCTGCTGCAGCTACTCGATGGCTTTCGAAAATGAATGAGTAAAATATCAGAAAATCTGAAATTCAAATCCCAATAATCCTAATTCGTGTATTTAGCGAGTTAATGAGGGTCATGGAGGAATTTGAATGAGGAATGGTGAAGCAAGAAAGACCTTGTTATTGAATCTGAGACAGCCTTTGCGCCCATTAATTCATTTCATTCCGACACATCCATATTCATTGCTCATGATGCAACGCGAGGACTTTTGACCTGCATTCGCAGCCTATGCAGGGCTCAGGAATACTGTATGACTGCTGACAGAGTACTTCGTTGTTTTATGTTGCCTTTGAGCAGCGTCTGCTTATGACCTAAAAAGGTCGACAGGGTATATGAACTGTTCTTATGAATTCCATGTACTACCGAGTTCTGCATCACTTTGTCTTAAAAATTTTCTAACGTTTCCCTCAACTTCTCAACTGCGAAGTTGCATGCCTCCTTTCTGACTTGAATAACCAGCATTGTGGCTATGAAAGAAAGTCGGAAGAGTTCTGTCGCGGACCCGTCGTTCGAATAACCGCCCTCGCTTACTCGTTTATTAAGACACTCCACACCAAACTGACTCGGCGACCGTACTTCAGCTGCGCTTCGCCAACACCACCGGTAGCATCGTTAGCATGACAAGCTGGACTCATTAAATATGCACTGAGGGCGACAGCTGAACTGGTCATCGAACTGACCGTTGTCATCTTTGGCGGACTGTAGCTGATGACGACATCATTGCGCCAACGAAACATCCCTAATCAACGCCGGACTATCGAACGAATCTTACCGACCGAAATGAAAGTTTGTCAGTCTTTTTCTGTGTGCAAGAAAAAAAAATTGGTGTACTTCGAACGACAGGTTCGAGACGGCAAACTTTAGGCTGTTTTCACGATAGGAATGTCCTTCGTTCGGTGTAAGAAAAGTAACATGTTCTTTGCGATCACGGATCTATGCCAGAAGGTTTAAAAAAAATTTTAACTGACGCTTGTTTAAATAAAACTACTTGCCCTGATGATTTCATTAACTTTGTTTGAGCAAAAACTTAGAAATATTCTTGGATTGACGGAATTAATCATGAATAACTGCTGTTTGTCAGATACCTTTTAACGGTCCCAAATTAGACTCTCATTAGTCTTCTGGCTGTTCTCTGTGTACTGACAGTACTGGATTGAAAAGACCCTAATTGGCTTCACATTAGGGCTGCCACTGGCAGAAACGTTGATAACTTCAAACGCATATCGCCTCATTCTCTAGTGTCTGTGTGCATAGGTACAGTGTCCTTTGATCCTGTCAAGGCAAGAGAGGAAGGGTCAAAAATTTGCGTCACAGAGGACTAACGATATTGCTTAGGAAACAGTGTAATCGTGTTTAAATTCCTTGACAGCCATGCTCGTATTATGGATGTGTGTTGATCGCGAGTCTTGCCTGTTGATTTTCAGTATTTATTAGAGGGATAGCAGATGGCAATAGTACAAAAAAGTAATGTTGAACAGTTGCGGATGTCAAGGCAATTGATGCACATATAAACGGCAACGTTTTGAAAGCATAACCGTCATCGAAAGGGACAAACTGCTTAGAATTCATAGTTGTTCAATGAGCTGCTAAAAGTGAGTGTACTGCAGGTAACCATTGTATGACATAGAAATGAATTTTAAATAATACTAATGATATAAGAGAAATTTCGCTATTGTGTGGTGCTTGTGTAAAGTACACCCAGACTCAGTCTAACGCTCGGGTTAAGTTCCTCGAAACTAGGGCCTTAACAGAGTTAGCGTTATATTGGATCAGTTTTGAGTTATACTTAACGGCAATCCATTGATAAAGTTAAAATTTTTAACCTATTTTCAAATCATTAGTGTAGCCGTTCTTCCCTTACTGTCATATGGGATTGTATAACATTTTGCACATTGTTGGCGTCAGCTTCGATCATCCTCAGCAATGTCATTTGCATAGCGCTATCGTTTCTTCTAAATTGTTCAAATTATATTCATCGTCGGGTCCACCCTCATCCATTCATTTTTTACAGTTGTAACTCACCTTGTCACAGGCTGAACTGATATCGCTGATAATGTTCCTAATCCTAAATGTTTTCTAAAAGTCTCTAACTGATTGCTCATGATTACCATCAGCTACCCGAATCAGTTCCCTGAAGGTGCATCTCAGCTAGCAGAGCTAGAAATTTTCTTTGACGTACTTGAACAAGAAAAGACATACTTGACTGAATGTGCACCGCTTCCAAATTCAGTTATCTGAATGACCAGGACATTTTCAAACACTGGTAATGCTCTGGTCCTCAAGTTTTGGCATCACGATAGTGCCTCACTCTGGAACAAGGTTATGAGGAGAGCCTTTGATGGAAAGTAAAATTTTCATCGATGCTTCTGGATGTTTTTCCAAATAATAGACAGATGCTCTCTAGAATACTTTTCGTTGCCTGAGATGTCTGTGAGTTAGACAAGCAAAGAGTTTAGGTGTTGGTGAGCACCGCTGAACTGAAATGAATGATACTCGAGGTCAGGCGATAAGATCCAGTTGTATCATGTCATGAGTTATATGCTAACAATATTAAATAACACTTAACTCTTCTAAGACCAGATTTTCTGCCGCCTGGATCTCAGTTGTCTAGGGGCTACTTGAACTGGTCACTGTTCCATAGTGTCTGCAAAGCCAAGTGCAACTCGCATAATTTTGTCTGCGAGAACCACCTCGCGCACATCACAAATGATGTTCCAGGAACTGTCATTCCTTATGTGCCATCGCATAGGCATCACACGTAGATCCAATCTGGTCCTGGAGGATTCATGCGTTATTTGATATACTCAGGTGTATGAACAACTTCTTATGCTTATGCATTAAAAATGTTTAAAAAATGACATTTGGTGATGTTTCAATGACACATTCATGCACTGAAATACCTACATTTGGTGAAAATATAAATCAGTCTCAATTAAACGAGCATTTTAATAAATCATAGTTTTATGAGGTACTTTTGTACTGACATCTAGCAATAATAATTTCCTCCCAACGCCAGAATTTATGATGATATGCGGCAGTGGAGGTGTTAAGGATTATTTTATTTGGTCAATTCCTCCAAAGTCTTCACCTAGCTAATATCTGAATTAAAGCCGTTATTGTGCCTCAACGCAATATTTTGGGGAGTGTATCGTTCAGAAAGATTCAACGACTGCATTCCTTTATTATCATCATTTAAACTCCAACATATTCTACGTTTCTGGTATGTGACTGCCCATGAGGATTTTATATACTTTTCATGTCCCATGTCAGAATGTACGTCAGCCGTTATTCTTTAGTTTCTCATTCTTTCATTTGACGTTACAATTAAAGCTACTTTTTCCAGGCAGATTGCGTCATCACATGATCAAATCTGCTGTTACCTAGGTTACTCAGATGTGTAATGGTATTACGGAGATCTGGAGTGATTATTTGAACATCTTGCTGCTCTTCGTCATTGACTGTGAGCCACTTCTCCAGTACTTATGACTTTCACAAAGAGTTGACGATCAGGTTGGAGTCATGGGAAGTGCAAAATTGCATGTGTGGTTTAAATTAATGATGTCAAGCAGATGAAATAGAAAGTCACATGGTTTGATGGACGCTTCGTATCGTTGGCCAATGGCATGCCTGCTGGTGACTGTAGCTGCACGTTTTGAATGGACTGAAATTTCCACGAAACTCTTTCGCCAAGAACGGTCGGTAAATTCTGCCTCGAGGGTACCATTCATACCTTAGGTCCTTCCATAATGACGATTATTCTTAGCGCCGCTGTCAGGTAGAAAACTTGTCCGCCCTGTCCTGATGGGTTGTCAGAACCGGTGCCTGAAATTGCTGCCTGCCAATAATCGGTTATTAAGTTGTGTGCGATGCAGAACCGGTTCGGTTCCGCTTTTAGCTGCGCAGACGGTCGAAGATAATACGCCGGGCAAGGCACGAAACAGTCACTGATCCTTCATGTAGTAGCTTACGTATGATCACAGTGAGTCTGACCATTTGCCTCAACATACGCCGCAACCTTGAGGGTTAGCCATACACGTTGAGAACTCCGTGTTCGTTGCCTCAGTGTTTTTGTAAACATTTATCATAAACTCGAAATCTTTTGACCAAAGATCTGCAATCTACCCCACTCTGATTGAAGCAGTCAAGAGACAGGCAAACTACAACATAGTGACGCCCTGAAGTTTGCAGGACGGGGCTTAAGAAACATGAGGATAAACTTGTGGTTTTCTCTATGCCCATAATGCACTATAGGCTGTAACGAGATAGATTTTATCTGTCGTCTAAGCGATACTAACTTTATAGTGACAAACTTTATTTAGTATATTCTGAGACTCACATTTTTCATAATATAATTCTTACGCTAAATGCTGGAGCGTTTTTAACCTTTGCAAGTAGCTTCTAGAGTTGAGCTGCTGTTTTATTTATGCCTGGCACCGTCTCGGGTTCAGCTGGTTCCACGATGCCTACCATTGCTGGCATGTTTTCATCGCCACGATGTCAGTCACGAGTTCAGCTGATCTTTTTTCCAACCGTTTGTACTTTTCATCGACCCACAGCAGACCTTAATGTAAACTGTGATAGTATCCCATCAGGTCGTAACTTCTCTGAATCCGTTGCCTGTTATCCAAGGATCTAGATGGCGTTTAGCGAAATGAAGTGATGCCAATTGGTGGATATGTCTGCACGTGCCCAAATCCAAGCAACTGCCGTTCTCCCAGAACAATAATGCAGAATTTGATGATATATGGTCGATCAATCATGTTCTCGAAATGGTTTGTGAACAGCAATAGTCAAATGGTTCTCCTTTCCCCACTTCTTCGACTCTTATCATTCAGCTATCACACTCGTAAAGGAGGGAAGGTGCCAATGGCGATCTGCAAGCCTCGGTATTTCGTCTTCAACCTGACATTCCATAGCTTCCACATCGACTTACAGAGCTGGAGTACGGTTCCCTTGGTCTGAGTTGTACTTTTATCATTATGTTGTCCATCAGAAGGATGGACGAGCCAACGTATTTGAAGGCGGTATCTTCTTCAATGGCAGTGGCACACGAAAGGACGTTTTTTTTCTTATTTTGAGATCCTTTTGGAGAGTATTTTCATTTAATGACTGGTTCCAGTGTTGCAGCTACGTCCTGATTTCGCGTAAGGCAACATTGGCATCGTCATAATTCGATTGTATAATGACAACTTCGTCGGTATAGTTATCACAATTGGTATAATGACAAGGACTGGGTCAACGAAGAGGTCGTTTCCACCATGAACTCCTGTAAGGATGTCAATTTGTCTGTTCTCCAAGTGTCCATCAACCAAGAAAGCAGCCATTTTGCCTCAGTTTCAGATAATCAGAAATCTCTTGAAACTGTACATGATGTCATGGAGAATCTCGCACAGCATGCACTGCTGGGCAACCATCTTCTGCGCGGACGAGACGGACGTTTTGCATAATGCTTTCTGTTAAAATAAAGTGAGACTTCCAAAACAATTAGAAGCATTACATTCTACCGTTGCCCCCCCCCCAATCAAGGCCACTAACGCTGTGACATTAAACCGCATTGATATCCAGTTATATTTCATTGAAGTGGAAACCGGTAATACTGCTTCGACCAAAGAACCTCACGTGCAAACTAAACCTCCTTCTATCGCAGTTTCGACGCAAACTTTCCATTTGCTATTGTCTAATATATTCACGATTGTTGCCTTAAAAGCACCGTTAATAAGTGAACTCTAAAATCGTC